GGTTCTGCTTATATCTGACTTTAGGACTACCCAATGATGAACAGGACGACCTGGAAACTCTATGTCCTAGGTGAAGACATTGGCTCTCGCTATATTCCAACCATAAAGTTGAAATACTGATCCCTCAAGCCTTTTGCTTCTTCTGACTGTCAATCGGTTTCAAGTTAGGTATGTTTAAACTATGGGTGGTGATCTGGACTCTGCAGAATCAGTATAAGGGGGCGTGCCCTGTCTTCATCCTAGAAGGAACTGGGGGAATAGAGACCAGCCTGGGCCTTTGCAAATCATTTTACTCCTTAAGCCTCCACGTGAACAGCTATGAGAATGTCTCACCCAAACCAGTGGCGGCTCCATGCATGGAAGCTGCAATGGCCTTGCAAATGACAGTTTGCAAACTATCTTTGCAACTGCAGCTGTTTGCTTTAAGTTGTCTCCCCAGAACACAGAAACTGTTTCCTAATTCCCCTTGGAAGTACATCCAAGCCATCCATTAGGAGACTGGGATGCCAACCTCTCTCCTCTGTGTCATCTTATTTCGGGGGAGAACAGTTGCAGAAAAGAATAAAAGCAGCATGGACGCTTGCCTTCGTTTTCCTTCCAGCATCACAAACCACACAGTTGTCTCTGCTCAAGACTTCCCCCCCCTTCCTAAGCATCCTGTTTCCCTTCCCAGACTCCGCCAACTCCTGTTGTCATCTGAGGTCCAGATTAGAGACTTACAGTTGAAGAGTAAGGATTATCATTGTTGAGATCTTGTCATCAACTGGACACTTGGCCAGATGTTTTTATCACACTGTATCCAATGATTTCCAGACCCACCCGCGCTCAGGAGCCTCTAGGAAGCTTCAGGAAATGTGACTGCTTCTGCCCCACCACAGAAACTGAGAAATCGCCTGGAATGTGACCTGAGCCTTAGGGTTTCTTTGAGTACACTCCCAGCTGATCCGAATGTGTAGGCACATTTGAAAACCACTGACTTCATCTTAGGGCACTCTGGGACAAGAATTGTCATCTGTTTTTGACAGATGGAGAACCTGAGGTTGCATGAGCAAGTGACAAGGCCTTCTTTCAACTCCTATCAGCCAGGTTCTACAGTCTGGTTGAGTTGCAGAAATTCTTTCTGGTCGGTATGAGCTATAGGCCAGGAAGCTTTTTGGAAATGCCAATTCTCCAGACCCTCAGGATTTGTTGAGAATCACTGCTGGAGTTTAGAACTCTTAGTGAAACCCTGTCAGGATGCATTCAAGGTCAAGCCAATATACTCCCAGACTCCAGAGCTTTGGCTCTACCCCCAGTAATGTTAAGACCTTAGTGAACACGGGGTTATCATGGGCTACGAGTTTAAAATTACTCTCCTTAAAATCTTCCTCCAGGAATATCAAGATCCTCCATCATACTTCTTCCTGCATTTTGAGTTAGTGGATTTTAAAGCTGAAGTTGACCATCCCTTGGGAGCAGGGACTGCATCTCTCCTGCAGCCCTGAACATGGTCATGAGCAGACAGTGGAGTGCAGTGCTCTTTGCTTGATTAGTGGCCAACGGAACCTACACAGGGCACCAAAGTAATCAGAGGATCCTGGAAGTGGCCTCATTCCCAGGCTGCTGGCTGTTGCCATACATGATGAAGATGTGTGGGAGGCAGAGGCTTGCTAGGCGCTGGGCAAGTACCCTCGGGCCGCAGGAGACAGCTGGCTTGGCACGGGATCAGATGGAGGAGCATCCAGTTGTGTGTGGCCGGGGCTCCAGCAGGTGTTTCCAAAGCCTTGGCTTCAACACCTCTGGGTGTGGAGTCAGAGGCAGGGGGTGGCCCCAAGTCCTACATGCTGCAGACATATGGTCTTCAGCTCTAATGAAACATACTTCCCTTCCTGTTCCTTTTTCTTTAAGCCAAATAATAACTTGACACGGGCCCAAGTGGTTAAAAAGATACTTAGAGGAACTCAATTTAGAAGGATTTCTAGAGAGCTGAAACAGGTGTGGCAAACCATTTCAGGATATTCTGGGAGACGAGTTGACGAGGACCAGATTCAAAATGGTCCCTCTGCCTTCTCCGGACTGGCTCCAGCAAGGGCTGATGAGCAAGATGTGAGGCCCACTTTCTAGAAGGGAGCACCCCCCATGCTTCTGTTTCTTCATTGAGTCTGGATTGGCGCCTCCCAGTGGCTCTGGGCCAGCTCCCAACCGCACATATCAGAGGAGGCCGCCATCCTCTGCTTACCACCAGTGTGGCTGCAATGGGAACCCTTGACTTTGGAGCTACCCCAGATGAGCTGGACATGATCTAACCTACACGGGACATCCTGCTGCATCCTGTCCTGCAGAGTTGCAGATTTCTGGAAAACTGCACAGTAGAACGAGGTCAGAGTTCAGATGCTATCTGAACTGGCACATGGGAACTATCTAGAAGAGAAACTCTGGACTCTCAGTCCTGCTGGCAGGTTTTACCTCCTTGACCCCAAGGCATTGAAGCCTCTATGTTCATATTTGTTAAAAGGGCCTAGGCAGAGAAGAAAGGATCTAAAGTAGGTGACTAGGCAGCCATACAATGAATGACTTTACACCTATTGCGCCCATAGTTTGTCAACTACCATACACCAGATTATGGGGGTTTATTAAATAAATGATCCCTGGTATAACACAGGCTGCAGGCGCTCTCTCTCTCTCTCTCTCTCTCTCTCTCTCTCTCTCTCTGTGTGTGTGTGTGTGTGTGTGTGTGTGTGTGTGTGTGTTCTTGTCCTCTTATACTTTGCACAGGGAAAAAAACCACTTCTGTTGTATTGAATTGGGTTACTCCGTTTTAAGACTGTGTATGACACTGTATTTGTAGTTTTCCCCCTGCCCTCTGCTTGTATAATTGAAGTCAGAGAAAGATGAAAGCAAGGCCTTCAGCACAGAGGGGAGTCCACTGCATGTGATGTAAGCACCCCTGATCTGAACATTCTATACATGAAATTACTGTCACCCTCAAGTCAAATCCCTCTGCATACACACCATCTGATCAGACCAACTTTGCATATAAAAAGAAGAAATTGTAGGTCTCTTTTAATCTCAGGTATTTTAGATATTGCTTGGGTATTCACGATTGATATTTCTGAGATATAGTAGATACACCCTTTAATACTGTCATAGATCGCATTTCCAGGCAAAGGCGGTGGCAGGGCGGTTCCCAAGGGGGATTGAAAACAGCGTGAGATCAAACCCATCTTTGCCTTGTGCCTCACTTGCCTGGAACTCTGATTTATATATTATCAACTAAGTTCAATAAGGAATATCTGGCAGAAAGTTTCAAGAGTTTAGAGGGAGCTGCAGACCCAGCCAGCCACAGGCCACACAACAGGAGCGTGAGGCAGATGCTGGCCATTCTGAAAGGGTCTTCCCAGACCAGAATCCTTTCGGGAAATGATGCCTGTCTAGGCTTTTCCTCCTCGAGTTGATGCTATATCTGTCTCCATGAGATACAGTCCTGTGTGGTCACTGCATATTCATCACGGAGCGAATGTGACCTGAGAAATAAGCAAAACAGCCCCTTTCCCGCTGGCCAGGGACGATCAGGTCCAAGTCTTGTATGAAGTGTGTCTCATCCATGCACCAAACATGCTCCTTTGGAATTAGAGAGAGTCCACATCTGTGGAGAGAAGACTGGGGGTGGGGTCTAACGCGGGCATTAAAGAATGCTTGGGAGAACATTCTCATCAGAAGGGATGGTTTTGGGTCACAGAGTCTATTTGAGGATTGGGGTAAATGTATGTCCTTGAGCATAAAGTAGAAAATGGAAATGACGTACCTTGGACTGAAAATGAAAGTTGTGGCCAATTTTTAAAGCTACTTACACCCCAGACAGGAGAACATCTGGTGGCCGGAAAGCAGTAAGCTTGCAGCAGCACGCCTCAGCGTGTGGGGCTCCATTAGGGGGCGGCTTCTGGATCTCGCCTGTGTAGAACATCCACCAGATGACCCCCTAGGCCAAACTGAGATGTAGTGGAGGAAATAGAAAGGACAGAAAAGTTACGTCTGGGAGGTGTTTCAAAAGACGTGTGGAATTTCGTGTAGACATTAAAGAAAAAATGAAATTACATTTGCAAGGAAATGGACACAACTGGGGATCGCCATGTTAAGTGAAAAGAGCCAGGCTCAGAAAGGCAAACTCTGTGGTTGCTCATATATATGGAACTTAGATTTGTAATCATGTGCATGTGTGTGTATAAGTACACAGTCTCGAGTACGTTTCTGTATGTGTGCCAAAACTAAAAGGGAATTGTGGGGAGGAGAAGAGGAGAAGGAGGAGGAGAAGGAGGAGGAGGAGGGGGAGGGAGGAAAGGGGAGGAGGAGAAGGGGGAGAAGGAGGAGGAGGAGGGAGGGGAGGGGAGGAGGAGGAGCCAGCTCCAAGGTAGGGAGGGATCCAGAGGAGGGGTGCATTTGAACACGTATACAGACGCACACTATGGAGGTGTCGTGGTGAACCCCACTGCTTGCTTACTGATCTGAAACTACTTTTAAAACCAGAGAGTCCTTTGTGGGTGCACACAGCAGTGGCAGGAGTCTGAGAGGCTGCGGGAGAATTCGTTACAAAGCTATTCTCCTCTCCAGGCAAAGTCATCTTCTCTTTGGTACTGAATCAGATTTTCTGCTCAATCCTCCCCCCAAAACCCTTGGTCACTTTCTGAAACTTAAGTTTCAAAGAGACTAAAATATGCAAGCTTCCTCTGGTGGTTTATTTTCCCAGGACGTTTCCTGAGGAGCAAAGATGGGAAATGAATACTTACTATAACAGGGGAATAACTACGTTTTGTTAACTTTAGGCCATTTCCCTAAACTTTAGTCTTCCCATGACTTCAGGTTTGGGAGCGGAGGAGTGAAGGGAGTAGGTGACAAACTTGCTTTGGGGTGTGCGGTTAAGTGGTTCGGTGCGTGCAAATTTATCCTGTCCATTGTAGTGGCCCCCTTCATCGCAGGAACTAAACAGAAACCTAACCCCATCGTTCCCTTTTCGTTTCTTGAAGGTCAAGTGCTGCAAATATTGGCCTGACGACACTGAGATCTATAAGGACATTAAAGTCACTCTAATAGATACAGAGCTGCTGGCCGAATATGTGATAAGAACGTTCGCCGTGGAAAAGGTAAGTGGGGAAGCCGGAGCGAGCTGCAGACCCGGATGCAGGTAGGCTCCGCTGTTTCTCGAGACCGCATCTCGCCCTCTGATTCTAGATACCCACGTAGCTCCATCCCCGACGTCAGCCAGTCCCATTTCACAACAGTCTGTACTTTGCGACTAGACACAAATAATGTCGACCGCACTATTTCCACTTTAACCTGGCTGGTCTTTGTCTGCCCCTTTTCTCTTTCGTGATTCATAACTCAAGGTTTACTGAACTTAGATAAATGCCCTTCCAGTGTAATGAGTCTCTCCTGTGTGGAATGCGCACTCAGGGTGCCCAGGGCTTGCATTGGCATAAGTGTTCCTGGAATACTTCATTCCTTCAGCCTTTCTCAGGCCCAAAGTTCAAGAGGGACTGGAGGGCCCTCTTAGAGGCAGCGAGCTCCCTGGAGGCCCACATGAGGGAGCTCCATCAGTCACCGGCAGTCTTGCTTGAGCCAGCATCTTCCTTCGTGCATCGGCACACACTTGGGTGTCTGCCGTGGGTGAGACCCACCTCATCCCACACGCATGGATAGGGCTGCCTCTCTGGGGAGCTCTGTAGGGCGTAACAGGGAATCTCCTTATTCCCCTCTCTCTGTTGACATAGGGAGGGGCCGGAGGTGAAGCAAACTGCAGTCCGTCCAGAGAAGTGCCACAGGTACGCTGTGGGGAAGGTGGAGGTGACAAGACTGAGAGACATTCTTCCCCACAGAGGCTCACGGGCTCTCCTGTCAGAGCGTATGCTCCAGCCCTCTGCCCTGCACAGCCTCCTGTCAGTTTGTCTCTTGTTTGCTCTGTTCTCACTCATCACGTGGTAGCAGACACCTTGGAGGGCTGGGTTATGCCAGGCTGCTGGCCACTAGGCTCCTGGACCTCCTCCTCATTCTGTGTTGTCACTGCACCCCATGCACTCTTTAGAACAACCAGGACATCTCTGGGGAATAGGGAAACCACACCATCTGCTTATTGTCTAGTTCACACTGATGACTGGAGCTGCTGTTCCTAGTTTGAAAATCCAAATTTATGACAGTCTCGAAATGCTGAGACGGTTTTAGTTTATTTTAATCTGTTTCTCATACTATTTAGCTTCTTTTTTCCTATAGCCTGTCCTTTTAAAAAAGAAATAAGGAAGATAGAGTCTTGGAGACTTCAAAGAACGTGAAGCTCTGGTTGACTCAATTCTTCGAGTTCTAACCCACACTTGGATGTTGATGTTTTTCCTTCTCAGGCAAGACTGAGAGAGAAAAGCACTTGCAGGATTTTTGTATGGCTCTTGGCAAGAGCACTCATGAATAACTGCATTAAAACAGCAATAAAAGATCCTGGGTATTTTTTTCTTAAGCCACTGCTTAAACATGAAGTTCTTTGAACAGGAGTCAGCTGTTCTCTAACAAGCTGAAAATGCATCCTAGGTGCTAAAGGGAGGGTTGGTTTGTTTCTTTGCTCTGTTTTTAACCTTTCGTTGTCTCTGTAAATCCCCAGCTGCATAGACATGTTCCTCAGACAACCCTTCACTTCAGCCATGAGGCCACAGTCCAGGGGGCAGGGGGGCTAGGGAGGAGCCTGGGAAAGCATTGGGACAATCAAAATGAAGTGTTACTGCTTTTCAGACCGGGCACGTGGGGTCTTTTAAGAAAACATGATCCTTTAACACCTAGAGACACTTCTTGGACTTTGGAACTTGATTAAAAACAAAAGAAAGGAAGTAGTTAGATATGGGCTCCAGGCTTCTGCAATTCTACTTTGAGAACAGGATGTAACAAGAGACCTAAAGTTGAAAAATAGATCTACTCCAAAGCAACCAGGTAGCAGTAGCCTGCAGGAGATGGACTCATCATTGGCATCTGATGGTCCCCCTTTCTTCTCCACATAGCTTAACATCGTGTAGCATACAGTAATCACCATGTCAGAAAGGCGACTATGAGGTCCCTTGGACCCAGACCTTTTCTGCTTTGGCAGAATGGAAGCTGGAAGTGACAACCGTATTCTCTGTTCCCACGAGACACCCTGAGATTCAGAGAAAGCAAGGGGAATAAGATGCCCTGTCTCAAAGACAGACACACACTTCACCATTGAGCCCATCACTCCACAAACATAAAATAAACCTACTCTGGGATAGGCACAATGGTCTAATGTGCAGGCTCCCTTCCCATTATACTGAATGGAAGCATTAAATGATTTACACTGTTTTGTACAGCACCAATGCATTTCCAATGAAAACTAAAGGAATAGTGTCATTAACGTCCAGCTGGGAAATGCTTAGGCTATGATTGCTGATTGCTCCTATATGTTTCCCCAGGAGAATCCATTGTTCGTGTGCAAGGAGTATTGTAACAGAAGCAACTTCCTTTGCTAATCTTGACAGTCATGAGCAGAGTAGGACATGGGACTTGGTTGTAGGAACAGGTTTTCCAGACTCTTGAAGCTAATGTGTACCTTTCTGTGAAAATGAGCCATAAGGACATGAGTTGGGAGCCCATCTCATTAGAGATGCCACTCTGGAGCTGAAATTGAACAAAGGAAAATCTCATTCCCCCATCCCTTGGAGGACATAAGCATTCACTGCCAAAGCTGTCCTGGTTTGGGATGCCTGCCATCAGATTAGGACCGGCACTGGCCAAATCACTGTGCATAATTCCAGGGGAGTGAGCTAAGGGTTGGAAGGGGCACGGTGGCCTGACTGTCTCCCGATGGGGTCTTTGAAGCTGGCCAAATGTTATTGTTTTTCAGTGGTGAGGAAATTTGGTTTTTAACTGCTAGCACCATTATTCTGGGATCCGGGAGCCTGCGTGGTTCATTTGCACTGTATGCTTGCTTCTTTCCTTTTCAAACTCTAGCAAACAGTGGGATTCTAACAGAAAATAGAGCTTGGGCATTGGGTGCGTCATTATATGAAAGATACATTAACACACTAACAGCAAATAGCCAATGGGCCTTATTTTAAACTACGGGCTCACATCTCCTACCCTGTCCCAGCCCATAATAATAAGCAGTTTATTCTTCGTGCACTAAACATTTGCGAACTATTCATAGAGAATCTGGTAAGGCCCGGGCATGCTCATCTGTAAGATGTAATAAAACCAAAACAAAGTCCAGATGTGGGGAACCAGTAGAGCCAGTGGATCCCAGGTTTACTTGTAGCCTTGGTTTTAAAAGTAGTTTTTGTTTTTCAAACAGCCTTTGGGGTTAGGAGATGGCTCGCTGGGTAAGGGGGCTTGCTGTGAAAACAGGATGACCTGAGTTCAGTTCCCTGCATCCACATCCAAGTGTGTGCCTCTCACCTCAGTGCTGAGAGAACAGAGACAGGCAGGTTCTGGGAGCTCACTGGCCGTCCAAAGAAACTGAACCATGGAGGTTCAGGGTCAGTGAGAAACCCTGTCTCAAAGAGGAAGATGGAGAGAGAGGAACAGTCGAGGAAAATACCTCTGTGTGTGTGTGTGTGTGTGTGTGTGTGTGTGTGTCTGTGTGTGTGTGTGTCTGTGTGTCTCTGTGTGTGTGCATGCGCATGTGTCTGTGTGTGCTCGAGCATGTGTGCGTGTCTGTGGGCACTCGTGCAGGAGCAGCTGCACATAGATGCACAGACATTATACCACATGACGACTTACAGTGGTCCTTAGCTCTGCTTCCAGGAGATCCAGTGCCCTGTTCTGACCTCTGTGTGCACCAGACACGCATGCACTCATGCATTCGGGCACAACACTCTTACACATAAAAACAAATCTTTGTAAAATAAAGAAGAGCAAATTGAAAGCCAAAATAAGCACGATGTCTCCCCCATCAAACCCCATCCCCTCCCCCGCCCCCTGCAGTCGGTTCTTAGGGGTCAGGCAGTGCCCCTCTTCACCCTGCTGGTCAAGCAGAGGGTTACAGTCGGAGCACTTCTTGACCCTGACTGCTCTCGGACACACCTGCTTCCTCAGGGGAAATGGCCAGGAGACAGGGCGAGGCACCTCCCTGCTTCTGCAGCTCTGGCACCTTAACTTGAAGTATTTATAGTCAAAGAACGGCTGCTGTTTGAATGGAGGGCTACACATTCGCTCCAAATAGAGAGAGAAACCTGCCTGATCCACATACGGAACAGATATGCTGGTCTGTCTGGAAAGGGATTCTCGTTTCTAAGCCCTGACGGTGTGGGCACTCCATTTGGGTACCTGGAGCCCGGACAGGGGTCTCAACATTCCAGCAGTGGCTGGAGAACAGCTTTCCACATGGTCTGCTTTGTAAGAAAGGACGTTTGAAGAACCGAAAAGACCCATTCATCTCCAGGCATTGTGTACAGACTAGCATGTCCCCATGTCCCCAAACATCACCTCCTCTCTCATACCTGTCAACAGCTCAGTGTCATCAGCCTTCCAAATTGGGTGTTACAAATGACCTTCCTCCCCAGGGGTCAAATGGCCTCCCTGCCCAGGGGTCAAATGGCCTTCCTCCCGAGGGGTCAAATGGCCTTCCTCCCCAGGGGTCAAATGGCCTTCCTCCCCAGGGGTCAAATGGCCTTCCTGCCCAGGGGTCAAATGGCCTTCCTGCCCAGGGGTCAAATGGCCTTCCTGCCCAGGGGTCAAATGGCCTTCCTGCCCAGGGGTCAAATGGCCTTCCTGCCCAGGGGTCAAATGGCCTTCCTGCCCAGGGGTCAAATGGCCTTCCTGCCCAGGGGTCAAATGGCCTTCCTGCCCAGGGGTCAAATGGCCTTCCTGCCCAGGGGTCAAATGGCCTTCCTGCCCAGGGGTCAAATGGCCTTCCTGCCCAGGGGTCAAATGGCCTTCCTGCCCAGGGGTCAAATGGCCTTCCTGCCCAGGGGTCAAATGGCCTTCCTGCCCAGGGATCTGTGGTTTCCAGCCCTGGGCTTGCATAGGGATGATTCATGTTCCTTCTTACTCTTGTTTATCATTTCTCTTCCTCTGTTTTCCTTCCCGTTGTGGCTGACCTTGGACTACAGAGAGGCATTCATGAAATCCGGGAGATCAGACAGTTTCACTTCACTGGCTGGCCGGATCACGGGGTCCCCTACCACGCCACTGGTCTGCTTGGATTTGTCCGGCAGGTGAAATCCAAGAGCCCACCTAATGCAGGTCCACTGGTGGTGCACTGCAGGTAAGCAGGGCTCCTGGTGCCTCCTCATGGGTGTGCCATGGACCAGGTATCTCATGGGCGTGCCATGGACCAGTTATGGGTGCAGGGTTCCCGAGAACGAGGAAAATGTTCTGGTTTATCTAGAACTGGATAAAGTTGATGGTTGTGCAGCATTTGAAATGTGCCTAATTACTAAAACACACACCTTTTGGTGGCTAACGGTTTTAAGAAGTAACAGTGCCAGGCATTGGTGGCGCACGCCTTTAATCCCAGCACTCGGGAGGCAGAGGCAGGAGGATCTCTGTGAGTTCAAGGCCAGCCTGGTCTCCAGAGCGAGTGCCAGGATAGGCTCCAAAGCTACAGAGAAACCCTGTCTCGAAAAAAACAAAGAAAAAAAAAGTAGTAGTAGCAGCAGCAGCAGCATGGTGGCGGTCCTTTCCCTGTGCTGACAGGACCCCTCTTTCCGCGCAGCGCTGGTGCAGGCAGGACCGGCTGCTTCATAGTCATTGATATCATGCTGGACATGGCAGAGAGGGAAGGCGTGGTGGACATCTACAACTGTGTCAGAGAGCTTCGGTCCAGGAGAGTCAACATGGTGCAGACGGAGGTACAGCAGCTGCCCTTTATCCCCCGGCTTAGTCCCCACTGTCCATCCTGTATGCCCACCTCCCTGGGCAAAAGAAGGCTGCCAACTCTCTACCAAATGCCCTAGGAGAAAAGCCCTGTGCCTGCCAACTCCTGATTCTCCCTGTCCTGCCCTCTCCCTCCCTCCTCCCTCTCTCCCTCCTCCCCCCTCCCTCCTTCCCTCCCCTGCCTCCTCCCTTCTTCCATCCTTCTTTTTGTCTGTTCTTTCAAAAACAAACAAGAAACTTTTCAAATTACTGTGGTGCCAGGAGTTTTCCGGGTACCGGAATCCATAGCCATCAACCTAAATTCACAGTTGTCAGTGCCAAGGGACCCAAAAGAGCCTCTACATTAAGCATCCAAGGTTCCCGCACTGCTGGTGTTCAGCCTGCCTTGTAAACTAGCTGAGAAGCAGAGCAGGACAGCTCCTGAGAATAGCTAGGGATCTGCCAGGTGGCTGCAGGGCGATCCGCTCTGTGCATTTTATTCTCCTTCAGACATTAGAAGAATACCAGCCCCCAGCCCTAAAAAGTTCTCCCTGTCCCTGGCATCCTGGGACTTTGCCCAATTTGTACCAATTAGTAAGTAACTCTTACAGTTGAAACACAAGGTCTATGGAGAAGTTAACATTTCTAAAATGTACATCCTGGACCTAGGACTTAGGGCCCCTGGAGGATCACTCCTGAAGCAAAATGAAGGATAAATGAGTATCCCTTATGTTCAGGTTATACACGAAGGTTTACACACATCTTGGGAATTTTTAACAAGTATTAGAATTCCAGGAGGCCAAAGTGCTGCCTTCTCTCTCTTTCCTTTAGACTGGGGCATACTTTAAAATATAAGGGTAATCATTTTTATATTTAGCATGCCTCAGCGGCTGATCAAGCATTGGAATACCCCCCTTCTCACTTCATCTTCTCTTTCGAAACATTACTTATAGAAATTAATGATAGAAGAAAGTCTTTAGCATTTCATACAATTGAAGACCAATAATAAAGATGGTGAAAATTAATTCTAGAAAAAGTCTCTGCCAAGTCATAATTAGACAAATCATTTTTACACTTGTGTATCGATGTGGTGATGGGGGTCAAATCCAGGGGCTTGCTCTGGATATATGAGGCAAGTGCTCTGTCGCAGAGCGACAGCCCCAGTTCTAGAGAGCCCATCTTTTAACTGCAGACTTTTAGACGTGTAAAGGAGCTGTGTTCTGGATTTATTAGGGCTTTGATAATTATGAGAACCATTAATAAATGGTTCAGAATATGTCATTCTTAACAGTCTTAACCGTCTTCAGAGCAAAGTCAGGTTTCCCTGGACCATTTTTTATATTGTGAACTTGATTGGGAAATTCTTCCAACATCGGCCAAATTATGCTCGGTCCTCATCTGAGATACTGAGTTCTGAATCCCGGGGATCAGAATTGGAGAGGAGTTTCAGCCAGTGTCCCACCTGCTCTCATCGGTCTATGTAATGTTCTTTATAAAGCTGTCCTTGGTCAAGTGGCACTCCACTGTCGAAAACAGGGCTATGGTACAGGACAACCCCGTGTCTTGGCACCAGGTCCTTTGTGATGCTTGTTTCTCTGTTGTGAATGTGTTGCCCTGTCATCATGAGGAAACAGGGCTGACAACGCACTAAGCACCTTCCTTCTCTAGTTCTCTGGGTCTATCCTGAGTCGTCCATCACTAACTAAGGCGGTCTGCTTTTTCAGGAACAGTATGTATTCATCCATGACGCCATCCTGGAAGCCTGTCTTTGTGGAGACACCTCCATCCCTGCCTCCCAAATCAGGTCTCTGTATTATGACATGAACAAATTGGACCCACAGACAAACTCAAGCCAAATTAAAGAAGAATTCCGGGTAAGTGGGGATCCAGGCAGGAGGGACTGACTGGTGGGCTGTGGTGGTCCTCTTTAAGAAGACTCTCAAAGTGAGCTCTTAGGCCCTCAAACCAACACAGGACTTCTTGATTTCAGGACTAGTGGCGTTGGGGGCTGGATGACTTTACTATGGTGCTGTCTGATAGGGTATCTAACCGTTGCCCTAGGCTCTACTTTCTAAGTATCTGTAGCAGCACCAGGCGAAACACCCCCAAGGGCAGAATTACTTGGCTTCAAGTCATTAGTCTAGAAGAGCCATTTGCATTTCAAGTAGCCACCAACTGGTTCCAAGATCTAGGATACCTGGTTCGTAGTCCATGGGTGCAGTCTGTCCATGGAAATGGCCCTTAAGGATACTCCATGTGCCTAGGTCTTCATTCAGGTAAAAGGTTTGTCTAAATGTACCTAACTCCAGGCCAATGCTCTCCCAACTTCTTGCCTCCCAGACTTTCAGTTACCATGCACTAGTGAGGGTGGATGGTGCTGTAAGCTATGGATCTGCCCAGCCCTTTGCCTCTGTCTCCTCTGGCTGATGGGCATTGTATACAGGCAAAACCCAAGGAGGGGATGATAGATGGAGCTGGTAGAATTCAGGGCGTGGGGCAATCCCACCGTGCAGTCAGCTGAGCATGAGACAAAGCTGCCCTCCACCTCACACACCCTTTAAAGGAATCAGTTTGCCCACAGAGCCTTCTTGAAACTTCCTCGGGAGTTTCTCAGCTGTGTGCTTTTCTCAGTTGGCACGTTATAACTGCACCCGTTCATGGGGTTCCAATGCATATATTCATACTATGAAGTCAAATGGGAGCAGGAAATGGGCCACCTGTGGTCACCTGACTGGAACTGGAGGTCCCACCTCTCCCGTTTATCCTACAGACTCTCAACATGGTGACGCCCACCCTGCGAGTGGAGGACTGTAGCATCGCACTCCTGCCCCGGAACCACGAGAAAAACCGCTGCATGGACATCCTTCCCCCGGACCGCTGCCTGCCCTTCCTCATCACCATCGATGGAGAGAGCAGCAACTACGTCAACGCAGCCCTGATGGACGTGAGTCGCCTTGGGCCACGGCGGGAAGGAAGCAGAAACGGCGGACGGAGCCCCAGGAACACTGGGGATGCTTATCTTATTTATATGCCCCTTTGGCCTTTTAAGAGGCCCGCTTTTCTTTCCAACAACAACAAAAGTAGATCTAGCTCTCCATTGTGAGGGTTTGTGTGAGGCAGAGGTTCCGGCTCACACACCACCTGTCCAACGCACTCCGAAATGAAGCCCACCAAAGCTACAGCTACGCTGTCAGGCTTTTCGCCTAATGGCCAGAGAGCCAGAGCAGAGGGGTTGCGGTGACTGACAGCATTGTTTAGTTCCCCTGCTCCCAAATTCAGGCAGCAATTAACATGGGAAAGAAACACAACTCATTGCCTCCTGCCAGTCTGTTTACTTCTTGCTATTCAGCTGACAAGAGAGTAAATGGCTATTTTCAGGGCTAATGTGTAAGTTTTAATTCTGTTGGTGTGATACCATGACGGGGGCTTAAGCTCCTTTAAAGCCTCTGGAGCAGACAAAAGCTCCTGCATCTTTTACAGCAGAGATAAGCAACACTGTCTCCCAAATAAATGACAAGCAAACAAATTTTGGAAAAAACAGAATTACTTTCTTGTACTTAGTTTTTAAAGTCAACTGATGAAACTTTCTCCACTAAAATTATTAATGTGGAGAGCCAATATTGCCTGTCAGAAACATAACAAAAACGGTAAGAAATGATTATGGAAGTTCCAATGGTATTAAGGTGAGAATGTTTCATAATAATTTCACAGAAAAGCTTACATTCAGTCCATTTTGGCATTGACAATGGCGATAGAATTCAACAGTCACTAAATACGTTCCTTGTTTTGTGCCAACCATCTCCATGTGCACAAAATGACTCTGCTGCACTGAGTGTGTCTGCATCTTTCTTGTTTCTGTACGCAGAGCTATAAACAGCCTTCAGCGTTCATTGTCACCCAGCATCCTTTGCCAAACACTGTCAAAGACTTCTGGCGACTGGTCTTGGATTATCACTGCACGTCGGTAGTTATGCTCAATGATGTGGATCCTGCCCAGGTGAGCCCAGGTCACAGGGTCCGGTCTGGGTGTGCTTTGTCTGAATGAGATGGGCAAGCCCCACAGCCAGTGATTGGAGACCTATGAAAGATACGGAAATACAAGGGTGACAAGTGAGAAATATATAAGACAGAAGAAAGCCGGTGAAAACCAAGTAGACAGACAGACTGCAGGTAAAGACAGGGGAGGCAGAAAGGCAGAAACAAATAAATAAAATTCCCATTGGTGAGCTTCAAGGACACAGACAGACCAGTCCAAGCTGAACTGGAAAACACACGCTGCAGAGCAAAAGAGAGAGCAAGCCAACCAGTGGAGCCAGGAGCAGGCCTTGGTCTCCTGCTTGGGCAATTCTGCTTCTAGGAACCACTCATCTGGTGCCTGCAAGAGGGGGCATTGGGATGGAAGGACAGCGGAGGCAGGCTAGCAGGCTTAAAGGAGGGCATTGCACTTTGTCAAGTCTTTGTAAAGATAGCAAAAGAAACAAAACTGGCACTGGGTGTAAGCCCAGAACATTCTGTGGGGCCTCTCACAGAGACATCAGGGAGGTGCAAAGGGCGGCAGAATCTTCTTGGGGGGAGCGGTCAGGAGAAGGTTGGCACCAAGCCCCTTTGGGAGCAGAATCTACTCTCCTCACAGATGTTACCGCCATGACAGAGGCATTAGGGAAACTTTGAGTGTGGTGTGTATTAAGCATAAACTTGTTTGGGAATTAATTAATTTCCTTTCCAGTATGGAAATTTTATTTTCAAATAGGGCAGGAGTGCTGGCGGGGGCTCCTGCAGTGTTTCAGCATCTAAACAGGACAAGATGTTTCTTTCCCAAAATACATTCTGTTGCCGTTAATGCAGCTAGAGTTCTGTTGACGACACTGCACTGCACGCTTAAGGCTCTCACCCAAAAGCTGGCTGGTGAAATAATGATGACAGTCCTTGTTCTTCTCCTCTCCTTTTGGCTTAGCTTGAGTGTTTAGAATTCTCCCTTCTCTCTGCTCTCAGAACAGATTGTCACTGTTTACGAAAGCCAGCCCAATTCAATAGAACCAAGAACTGTCACTCTAACATCGAGGCAGCAGTTTTTAGATTTCACGAATTAAACAGCTGCTAAGGAGTCCAGGATGTGTTCCATGTGTAGAGTTGTTGGTTTGCCTTGTCCCTAATGTGAAGGAGGTATAGATGGGTCACCTGTCAGTCAGCAATGCCAGTGGGATCTCTGAACACAGCATCTGAATGCTGAAGCCACACTCTAAACCCAAACTGTCTGGACTCCACCCAAGCCTTGGCTGACTGGCAGTCAGAGAGACAAAAAGACTCCCGTTCTATTCAGCAGACAGAGCTGATTTCTGGGGGGTGAGGGGGTGCTCCTGGGACTCTGTCTTTTAGCAAATGCTAAACTGAGCGTTGGAACTTAGAGGCCTTGCAAAACTGCCATGAGACTACTTTAAGTATTTATCGGGCTAGTTCATGGATGTGTTATGCACCATTTAAGCCATTTTCTACATGATTTCCTTGGGCAGAATGTAGGACACAGTGTGCCAAGAGCTAGATGCCAGTCTGGGCCATTCATATTTCTGTGGTGTAAATGACAAGCATTTACACCAGGCGCTTGAACTTTGAAAATAAGCAGAGAGCAAGGCCAGCCCTGCCCACAGAGAAATGGGCAGAACCATTCAGATGTGTTTGCTATGGCTTTTATTACCATCTCAGCTTCCTATCATCATGCCTATTAATCTTAACAGTGGGCACCCTTGGGTACCAAAACGGAAATAAGCATCTGCATGCTATAGTTTGACAAGGTAGTTTAATAGCTCGTCACCAGGAAGTGCTGATGAGGAAGAAAAAAAATCCCCCTGAAAGCATTATTTAAAAATAAATTAATTAGTTTCTAAATCCAACAGACCTAGCTAATATAAAGAATAGTCTTGGTTACCCTATGTTCTCTTTTAATCTATCATGGATTAAAGATTTATCATGGATCAAGAGGGAGAAAAGACAGGCTGCTCTTTCAGTCGATTCACTGTTAACTGAGAATTTACCTTGCAATCTTTGCAACATGTGACAAGACATTTTAGACCATTTCAAAAGTAAAAGTCATCAAGAAAGAATATTCAACCCCGCACGGTTGCCAGCTCTGAATCGTATCCCCTGGCTAACATGCTTTCTGAGAAAACAGCCAGAGATGAGGAGAAGTGTAGTTGAGGACACAGCTACCATGAAAACTCCTGGTGTCTGGGCCTTTTAGGAAGAAAAAGAACTGAAGCATAAAGAATTAGGTTGATGCTGACCTCATCCAGTAACTACACTTGTTTTTTCTGTTTTGTTTGGGTTCAGTTGTGTCCACAGTACTGGCCAGAAAATGGAGTGCACAGACATGGCCCCATCCAGGTGGAATTTGTGTCTGCGGATTTAGAGGAAGACATCATCAGTAGGATCTTCAGGATTTACAATGCCTCCAGAGTAAGAGCAGGGCCCACGGTGCTTGAACTGGGATTTCATTATTGTTATGCCTACACTCTATCAGGCTCTGTTCTAGGGGATTGCAGTGTCTCCATCAACAAAACAGATCCTTGGCCCTACACACGAATGGGAAGGTTGCTAAAGAGAGAGTTATTAATATATTAAGGCTCAGTAAGAAAAACATGGACCACTGGGGCAAATACTACTTGAATCCAGCAAGGGGAGTGGGGAGAGGCTAGTCTGGAGCAGATAGGGGTTTGCAGATGGAGAATCGGGGCCAGGGGATTCTTGCTGAAGGTGGGCCAGAGAGAGCGGGCATCACTAGGGCATGGTGGAGGCTGAAGAAGCCAATCAGATATGGAGTGGTCAACTTACTGGAGGGGAGGATGCTTGCTAAACTGACATAATGTGGGTTGCAAAAACTGGGGAGTTTTACAAAGAACCGAAAAGATGGGTCCCCAGCAGAGTCCTGACTAAACCAAGATTCTTTATCGAAAGACAGCAAATAATAGGCACAACAGATAGAATTATGGTGAGCTAGAAAGTGATACATTTTAAAGGAACAAAAAGTGTGAGGTCATGCCCCACGGGGGTCACCAACCCTCCTTTTCAATAGGCATTCCATGTGAGCAGACAGTACAGAAAGCAGGGGTAGCTATGGCCTCTCTAGGAAGCAATGGCCACACAGAGGCTCTGTGGTGGAGCTGGAGAGCAGCCTAGCACACTCTTGCTTCAAAGCAAATGAAAAGCCATTGAGCCATTACAGGGTTCTTCAGAAGAACTTGCTCCACCAAGCGATCACATCTGCAATTGAACACGCTGGTTCTGCCTTGGGATCACTCAATAAATAGAAGGACCAGGTGACACTTGGAGAGAGTAGGCAGTAGAGAGATTGCTAGATCCCGAAGCTGGAGCATCAGGGTCCCAGAGAGTCAAGGTGACTCTCAAGATTTGGATCCTAAGAAGGAAGCCGTGTGATTGTCATTAACTGGAATTGCTTTGCCTGTGGGAAAAACAGATGGTTTGGGGTAAAGAGCTGAATGAGGTTCAATTTGGGACACAGTAGGCTTGGGATGACTGAGCCCTGTGGTTGGTTTTTGAGTACATGAGGTTGACATTTGGGACAGAGATCTAAATGGTGACTGACTTGTGATACCTGAAGCCATGAAACTGAGATCAGGGAAGAAAACAGCCCCAAAATGGAGCCTAGAGCCCTCTGTCAGCCACAGGTCTGGGAAGAGGGGAGACTGAGGCAGAGGAGGAGAAACGGCTGACAAGGAAAACATACTGAGAGACCCACCTATGTCGGCTTTGGCCCAGTGCCAAGAGGGTCCCTTCCAAAGCTGAAGCCAGCAATACACAATTTGAATTCTGCAATCCTGTTTAATTAAATGTAATGATTAATTAACTATTGACAGCACAGCGAAAGCCTCACTGTTAAGCAAAGCCATTTTATACAGAAAACAGGGTAGAAGCTACAGCGCATCGAACTCACAAACATTTCTAGGTTATAATTTATCCCCTTACCTTTAATTTACTTGTAATTAAAGTGAAGCCGTTTTCCCATATAACGCACAGCATGCTCAGTCCTGTTGTTATTTTTCTCTTGGCTTTTTACAAAGTGTAAGCACCCCACTCCGCTCTTGTTTATCTCTGGCCTGTCATTCAAAACACCTGGTCTTTATTGTCACCAGAGTTTAAAGTCATAACTCTCCAGGCCTGCCTGAATAACACCTTTCTCTGATGGGAAGATCAAGGTGGTGGGGGGAACAGGGCCGGAATCCAGTGAGGTAAGCCATGCTGTTTCCTCCACTCCCTGACTGGCTCTACACTCCTTCCCTGACCTCTACAGCCGCAGGATGGTCATCGCATGGTTCAGCAGTTCCAGTTCCTGGGATGGCCGATGTACAGGGACACACCCGTGTCCAAGCGCTCCTTCCTGAAGCTCATCCGCCAAGTGGACAAGTGGCAGGAGGACTACAATGGCGGTGAAGGCCGCACAGTTGTGCACTGCTTGTAAGTAGTCCACAGAGTTTTTCTCTCAGAGGGCCAGGCCCTGCCCACCCACTCCGCTCACCTTCCTCCTGCTATAACACGGAAAGACAGAAGAAACAAGTGGCTCTGGGTCAGAGGGGTGGGTGAGCAGCACTCTTACTGAACGCTCGGTTGGCTTTTCTAGAAACACAAGTGTGCTCCTAGTACACAGCTGCGTACTTGGGGGTCTTAGCCTGCCGTCTGTTTCTCTAACAAGATATAGGAGATGGAGAGGTTTATAAACCAGAGTTTGATTTAGTTCACCATTTGGGAAGCTGATAAATGCAAGAGTCCAGTCCTGGCATCTGATGAGGGTCATAACAGAGGAGGGCATCACCTGGCAAGACCAAACAAGTGTGCTAGCATAGGTCACTCCCTTCTTTATAACGCCACCAATGAGAACCTTCACCTGGTCCAGAGAACCTCCCACAGGCCTCAATTTCCAGTGTCATTGATGTCTTTGGAGATTAAGCTCCCAGCACAGTAACTTGAAAAGCACACTCAAACTACAGGTGGTCTGTTACAAGGTAGAAGTATTTTTTGGTCACATAACTAAGACCAACCCCTACCCTAGAGGAGAAGAAAACACGGGGATGGCTTCAGAGGCAACTCTTGGCTGGTTGTTAAACTGTTGGTAACTTGAAGTCATCCATACTAGAAGAAAGCAGCCAATAGCATAATCAAGGATCCCTCCCAGACAGCCAAAGCTGGGTCATTTTGGTTGTAATAACTGAGTGTTCTACTGGATACCATAAGGGAACTTTCTTTAAAAAAAAAAAAAAAAAAAAAAAAAAAAAAAAAAAAAAAAA